GTGTGTGTGTGTGTGTGTGTGTGTGTGTGTGTGTGTGTGTGTGTGTCTATCTGTCTGTCTGTCTGTCTGTCTGTCTATGGTCCTTTCCCGTTTTGCCCTCACTAGGCCTGGCATGTACAGTCTGCTTTGATGCGGTCCTGAAGACCTGGAAGTAGTTGGCTTTTGTGACTGTTTTCCATTGGTATTTTCTCTCCGCTGCTCTTATATACCACAAAGGGCTCGTTCCTCCTGTGTCCATCTGGCAGTCTTGGCAGTCTTGCTGCCTGTACGAGGACTTACAGTTGTGACAGTCTTTCCACTTAAACTGCGGGCCTCTGAATGATCTTTGCTTTATTCTCTCTTTCTATTTCCGGATGGTTTTGAATGGTTATCTTCAGACGTTGCCACTTGCAGGTAATTTCCGGTTCAACGATGTCCTTGACCACAGTCCACACTTTTCGCTCTGGGGTTTCTGCTTGCATCCGGTATTGTGTTGCATCTCTTTTTCCAGTACCTCCCATAGAGTGGCCTTTCTTCTTTTTCTCTCTCTTTAGGTTGAAAAACATAAAATGAAGATACTACGTTTTTTTTTTTTTTTTAACCACTAGTACCTTTGCCGTTTCGTTTCAGCAAGTTTTAGCCTATTTCTGAACTTTTAGGAGGCCGGGCTCGACAACGGTTGCCGTTGATAAATCTGATTGGCAGCCGTCGTTTCGTTTCGGCCTCCTGAAAGGCCGGAGGCCCACTATTTTCCGAACTGACAAAGGTACTAGTGGTTTAACCCAACAGCACACTCATGCCCCTTCTATTCTTGGGGGGTAACAGTCCGGTTGCTTATCTCTGGCAAGCATGAAGAAATGTAAGTAGCAGAGAGAATAGCTCTGCTCTGGCGCTAGTCACCGTGAGCAGTGAATTGTTGTTGCATTGTGGGAGGGGGGCTGCAAAACTTTCGTATGCTTGGGTCTCTCTAGCCGGGAGATGCTCAGCGTACCCAGACAGTCAGGGGGGCAAGACTTTTGTATGCTTGGGTCTCTGTAGCCGGAAGACTCTCAGCGAACGTAGGCGCTCAGGGGGGCTCAAGCGTCAAAGGATTGCCACACTCTATGCTGTGGCCACATCAATTCTCCACCGTTGTTTAGCTTCCATCTACAGGCNATGCTGTGGCCACATCAATTCTCCACCGTTGTTTAGCTTCCATCTACAGGCCCAGACCTCCACTAAGATTTACCACATCCGCTAATCCCCAGTCTTTTGTTCAGTGCTTATCAATACTGATTTCCTTCCTTTCTGTGAACACTCATTCATGGTTATTCCTCAGTTATCCTGACCATACTGCTACGGACTCAAAATGACGCCATGCTCATATATTGTTTGGTGCCCTTGGCGCCCCTCCTTTCTGAATCATTCATATCATCCCTACTGTTACCCTCCTCAGTTGTGGCTGACGGCAATGCTTCAGTCTCCAACTGGGGATTTCCAGACCCGGAATGCACCTCTTAATTTTCGAAAACCTTTCAACCTCTTGACATTGACCCGTCCCAACTTTTTCTCACAAAACCTCACCTTTATCCCATGCTCCTCATCCCCTGCTGTAACGAGTAATACACACTCACCATTTACTGTGATCACAATCCCTACTATTCTACTCCCCTCAATCTTTCTCGCATTCGTGTGTCCTATACCCCTTGTCCACATGAATATTGCGTCGCAGTGCGCCCCTCTCCAGAGTATCCACTAGCGGGCTGCATCTCGCTTCCCTGCGTGAGCGATATGGAGTTATGTTGTGACCTGCAAAATCACAGACTGAGAACTCTAATGTTTTCTGAGTTTTGCTGCTGGACTGATTGACTTGCTGAGATTCCTGTATTCTGCTTAGATTTCTAAGCATGTGTGTGTGTGCGTGATTGCTGAGTTTCTGTGTTTTTCTGACTGTATGATTGCTTGGGTGTGTGTGAGACCTGCCAGGGCACTTGTGTACTGAGAAGGCCCTCGGCCCTGGTACTTACCTGTGGCCGTGCTTTTGTGAGGGGCAGCGAGAACTTAGAAGTAGGCTAGGCCCGTGTAGGATGGAAAACAGTTAAGTAGCGGGTCAGTAGGCAGAAGAAGGCAAAAAGTTAGTACCTTTAGAGGTCGAAGGAATTTTAGAAGTCTGGCGGGCTTAGAGTCTAGGGGTACCGGTCCAGTAGTCTGAGTCTAGGGCCTGCAGTGAGGGGTATCAGACTGCAATGATTTTCCCCTCTGAAACGGCCATGCGGCCTGGAAAGTCACTGCTCAAAGAGGCAGTAGGCTGGTATATCTTCAGGGAGAGCGAACAGCTGTTCCTCATTTGCAGTGTGCAAGTTCGGCAATACGCTGCTTGGGGGGCGCTGGGTGGAGCAGCACTGAGGAAGGAGTCGCGGGCTTGGCCTCCCACCTCAGCTATGGTGGAGAGAACCAAGGAGGAGCCTCCTGCGAGGTGGGAGGGGAAGGAGGAAGACATCGGGCAATGAGGAGCATGACGGGGGAAGCTTACCTGGCTATGATGGTCTGGATCTTAAACCACCAGTACCTGGCCCAGCTATCGATGCCGAGCCTGGAATGCCCCTGCGCGCCAATTTTTGCCGAAGCGCCGGGGTAACGTTTCAATTTTTTTTTGGCTGGCGCTTCCAGCCATTGTGGTCCAGTACCCCGAAGCACTAAAGGTGAGGCGCGTTAACTGGGAAGCGCCACGGCCGATAGCTGGTCCAAGTACTGGTGGTTTAATCTTTGTGGTTGGCGCTCCACCTGGAAGGCCCCAGCTGGGGTTGTCATCTTCAAGGAAGACTTCGGGGCAGTAGAAGTGGCATGGTGGCATAGTAGGAAGGACATAGCAGCTTTGTGTTGTTCCTTGAACATCAGAGCTTCACTCCAATAGCCTGCCATAGCCACCTGCTCGACATAGTAGGAGGAGATGGCTATGGTAGTATGGTGGACCCCTGGAGTGCCTGGCAGTAAGGAGAGGATTCAGACATTTGCTCTGGTCCATTCTTTCATTGTTATTATTAGTATTGTTGTCAAGAAGAAGTTGGGGGAGTAATTGGAGGTTGGAGATGGTGGCGAGAGAGGGGGGATTTGACATTGGTCTTTGCTGGTGTACATCTTCTTCTTCTTCTTTTATTCACATTTCTTCGTGTTCCTTTGTCTACTTCTCTTTCCGAGTTCTTTCATTTCAGTTGCCATCGAAAGGCTTTTTCTTTCTTTGTGTTATTGCATTGCAAGTTAGTCAGGATCATAACAATTGGTATCAGAGTGGTACTTACTTGCTGGCAAGAGGATGTCTTGTTGCCTTAACCCTAATCCGAGGCAATTCGGGCAAGTTACTCTTGGACTAGGGTAGGATAAAGTTGGAAGTGGGGTGGGGAGGTATATGGGAGCCGCTGTGACGCCCAACCTCACGCCCAGCACGACTTCCTGATCGGAGTGGGATGTGGGCCTGGAAGTGCGAAAAGGGGTGTGCCAAGGATTTTTGGGAAAGTGGGGGAGTCTTAAGGATATGAATGCAATCGGGCGAAAAAGGGGTGCGTGCGCAGGGGATTCAAGGCCCGATGGGGCCGGGGCACTGTGGGTGACGGGTTACGGGAAAATTCCTCCATGGTGGAGGTGGT